CAATCCTACTTCCGTAGTGATACTGCCTCGGAAACCCAAGGAGGGGTTGCTATGAGTCAGGACTGACTCGATGGCACATAACAACAACAACAACACACACATACATATATATATACATGACATGTGGGAGCTCTGGTAACAAAGTGCCTAAGGCACTTGACTGCTAACCAGAAGGCTAGCGGTTCAAACCCACCAGCCACTTCTCCGAAGGAAGGTTGGGCAACCTACTTCTGTAGTGATACTGCCTCGGCAACCCAAGGAGGGGTCGCTATGAGTCAGGTCTTGACGGCCCATAACAACAACAATAACATGTATAAAACATTTTGAGAAGTATCCAAGAAAACCATAAAACTTTAAGGACTTTTTTTTTAATGGTCTAAATAAGTGAAAAGATACGTGTTCCTAAGTGGGAAGATTCAATATCATAATAATGTCAACTTAATGCATTTTCAAGCAAAATCCCTATGGAACCTTTTTGGGACTTGACAAGTTGATTCTAGACTTTGTCTGGAAGACTAAACATGAGCTCAGCCGAGAGATTTTGAGGAATAAAAAGAACAAGAAGCATTAATAGGAGACCTCCCTAACAGATAGCAAAATGATCTATGAAGCTACAGTAACAAAAACAACAGGGAACTGGCAAAGAAACAGACACATACTGATAAAGCAGTAAGACACAATAAGGAAACAACTAGGATGACATGGGAATTTTTTTAACTATGATAAAATTGACTTTGACTTAATGGAGTCAATACTGAGTTTTGAGACCAAATTCTAGAATGGTCAGAGGCAGTTCTTCCCACAGAAGTTACCACACATTGTGTGTCTTGGCTCTGCTACCAGGCCTGGCCATAAAAGATTGGTCCAGGAACCAACCCAGTCACTGAAGTCAAACATCTGGGCCACAGCAGCAGCATGGGAGGAACGTCTAGCATCTGCACTCTGTGTTAGACCATGACTAAGAAAGTACCTGTGAGCTTGGCTCTTTGAGAGTGCGAGGCCCACTGAGGGAAAGCAGGAGAGGCAGGAGCCACGTGCCCTGGGAAAGCAGCCAAGCTGGGGCTTGGGAATGGCTGACTGAAAAGGCAGCTATAAGATACCAGTATCCCAGCGAATCTGCTGCGTGCCGCTCCGGTCACCCAGTCTGAGAGGACTTTGCAGTTCTGCACAAGTAAGCTGAGGGATTTACTGACCGTCTTTATAGTAAACCTGAGGTAACCTGAGAGTAGCTTTTCTTTCATTGTCTACCCTAGAATCGCACAAAAACCATCTGAGAAGTAGGCCAAGAAGGGGTATAAGAAAGTCCAGGAGAACAGAGAGGAAAAAGGGGAGAGAGGAACACCATGCTCCTCATTGAAGCTAGTGTGAAGAGATCAGGACTCTGACAGGAAATTAGGGGAAGGAGACAGAAGGTGAAAGAGGAAGAAAACACCATTTCAGGCATAGCCCAGAGAAGTCCTGTGAGCAAGGTCATGTAGATGAATAGGTGACACGTCTTCCTTCTTGATCCTCCCAGCACACAGTGCTGGAGACAGGAAGGAGGAAGCTGTGAATGTAGCGGTGAGACCTGCAGTGGGAAACATGGAGGAGTAGGGAAAAGAACAGGAGAAACCTGAGCTCACAGGGTTGAGGGTCTCCTGGGCTAGTAGAGAAATCTGAAATCTAGGGTCTCTAAAGAACCTCAAAGTCAGAGTGGTCTTTCATTTTTTCAGTCATTCAACAAATACTTACTCTTGTTGTTGTTTGTTGTTATGTGCCGTCGGGTCGGACTCGACTCATAGCAAACCCCCCTTGGGTTTTCGAGGTAGCCTCAGAACCCGCTATGAGTCGGGTCCAACTGGACGGCACATAACAACAACGACACAACATCACTACGCAAGTAGATTGCCCAACCTTCCTTCTGAGGAGTGGCTGGTGGGTTTGAACCGCCAGCCTTCTGGTTAGCAGTCAAGTGCCTTGT